TCTGCCTCAAGTTGTTTTACACGCTGATTTAGACTGACAACTCCCTAATTCTTATGAGGTGAGACTGAGGAGATTATGAGAAGAAATCATTCATCTCATTGCAGCAATACTATGGGAGTCAAATCATCTCTTTCATGTGCCCGTCATCAAATGAAAGATTGCATCAAAATGAGCAATAAGAGTATTTTTTCTTCCTCCACTGACACCCATCTGATTATCTCAGAACACATTAATGAAACGAGTCTCCCAGGATACTCTTGCATGCTGTTCCCATTATACCAACAGGGGAAAAAAAAGGCAGAAGTGGGTTCAGTGGCTTCCCTACCGTAACATCAAAGCCTGGAATCAAACACAGATCCCGCTCTGTGCCTGCACTACGCGTTCTGAAGGGTGTCAGGAAGCAGTCCCGCAAGTTTCTATAGCTTTGTTGTGACACCATCTACTTTTCTGCCCAGTTATCAAAATCCAATAGGTGCTGTGTCAATTAAAAAAATATACAGCCCTGAGAATGACAAGAGATGAGATGAATGGCCCTCAGGGGAAAATGCCCTTTTGGAAATATTCCACTAAAGAGAGTACTAAGGACACAGTTAATCTGTTTATTTGGCTTCCAAGCATTATCTAGATGAAACATGCAGTAAATAAAGAAGGAAAAAACTCTTTTTTAAAAAACACCTTCTTCTCATCTCTGTGACTATTCCAAATTCTTTACAACAGCTAGAGGATCTGAGGCACCCCTGAAAAACATTTCGATCAGGCTGTGTCAGCTATTTATTTATGTCACCAACATGAACATTCAAAAATTATTAAGGAAAAAAAAAAAAAAAAAGAGAGAAAGAAAAGATATGAGAAAAATGGCATCGCTAGGACTGCTGAGAGACTCAGCTTTTAACTTGTCAAGAAAGTCAAAAACTGCCACGAATGTTTACTGAAAAAACAGGGAGCATGCAAAAAAAAAAAAGAAAAAAAAAAAAGGCTGCGGAATTTCATCCTGTGCTCTGACCTATAAAATTACAGCGGCTGCTCACAGAGGGACAGCCAGTACTGGGGGGCCCCGCAGGATACGTGCAATTATAGCAAAAGCCAGAGCTCTGTGATGGCCGTGACAACTTACATATGAAAGGTTTGACAGTGCTGTGAATGTGCTTGTGTTGTTTGAGGCCAGACGAGGTGGCAAAGGTTTTGCCGCAGTCCGGGCAGGCGTGGGCCCGCGCGCCAACGTGCTGGGAACGGATGTGCCGCTGGAGGTTGCTGGGGTCAGTAAACACCTGAAAGAGAAAACGCCTTGATGGAGGGAAACACAGCAGTAGGGAGAAGAGCAGATACCTGAAAAGCTGGGCTGTTTTTTCCCTTTTTTGTCAGCACTGCTCCCAGCATTAGGAGCACAGGGTATTCACCTCTGGCTGCAAACAGACAAGGAAGGGAGCAGGGCTGAGCCGCGTGCTGCCGGCGCGCGTCCCGA